TGTTTTGGAAAGTTACAGGGTCAAATATAGAACATTCCATTTTCAAATTGAAATTTGCCAGATTAGTAATGTTACCTTTGAGACGGTGTGGTAGCCCAGGAATGAGAATTACCCCCATAATGGCATACCATTTGAAAAATTAGACAACCCAAGGTATTGAAAGTGGGGTATGTTTAGTCTTTTTTAGTAGCCACTAAGTCACAAACACTGATCAAAATTGCCGTTTAAATTAGGTTTTTGCATTTTCAAATATTAACACTAACTTTGGCCAGTGTTTGTGACCAAGTGGCTACAAAGAAAGACTGGGCATACCCCATTTGCAATACCTTGGGTTGTCTATTTTTGCAAATGGTATGCCATCATGGGGGTAATTCTCATTCCTGGGCTACCATACGGTCTCAAAGGCAACGTAACCAATCTGATGAATTTCAATGTGAAAAAACTGAAAAATGTAACATGCTATATTTGACCCTGTAACTTCCCAAAACACCATAAAACCTGTACATAGGGGGCACTGTTTTACACGTGAGACATTGCTGAATACAAATAGGTGTATTTTATTGCAGTAAAATCAAACAGTATTATGACATTCACAGTTAGAATGTCACGTAGAACTAAACATTTTTTTAAAAAAATTCTTATTTTCTCCCATTTTTTTAATATTTTATTCATATTAAATTATGTTTTATACCTAAATATTTGATGTTAAATGAAAGCCACGTTTCCCCTGAATAAAATGATATATAATAAGTGTGGGTGCACATAATATGAAAGAGGTGAATTACGCCTGAACAGACATATAGCGCAAATTCCAGTTTTTGTTTAAGTTTTGTTTTGATCACAACGTGTACATTTGGCTCAGTCCTTAAGGGGTTAAATTGGGACTTAAAACTGCAGATTTATAAACAAATGCTGCCATCTTGTGGTAATAGAAAAAATATGTATTTAATAATTGTACCATTAATATCTATGCACGTATAGATTCATACACAAGTGCTGTTATCTTCTGGTAATACAAAAAATTGATTTCTTACAAAGTAGTAATTCAGTTAATAATTGATCAAATAAATAAAACAAGATACAATACACACACTATATATATATATATATATATATATATATATATATATATATATATATATATATATATATATATATATATATATATATATATATATATATATATATATATATACACACACACATATACACACACGTTTGTGTTAGGGGGCAAATAAGCCGTATAGAGTGACAGTATAGGTATAGCGTAATACAGAATGGAAATAGTCGGTTGAGGTGTGCCGGAACCGACGATGATGGTAGGCCTGTAAAATAAAGAGGGCAAAAAGGAGAAATACTGTAAAATCGTTAATACAGTCAACAATCAACATACATACTTATACCCAAGGTTATATGATAATGCCTGACGGAGTTCCAATACTGGTTGTGGAATGTACCGTGATTAGGCTGAGGACTTACAGTGACCTAATGTTTAATTATGTGTACTGGTGTAAACATGCTTGAAGCCATGCATGCTGCCCCTAAAGAATGGCCAAAATTATGGAAAGGTTAAAGCCTGGTCTTCTTGATTAGTGTTCTGACAGAACTCATGAATGAGATATATTTGATGATTTGTGTCAAAATTTTAAGGTGCCAAAAAGCATCATAGTGAGGAAAACATGGCAAATATGTTGTTAATAAACTGTACTAATACTTGGTCAGAGAATACGTAACCAGGAAGGGCATAAATGAGCATGAATCGTAATTGAAGGAAAACGGTTGAAAGGATACGTAGGTTGGATCATGCATGTGTCGAACATAAATAGTCAAGCCTCTTGTTGGCCCATGCATATAACAATATGCATGGGCCAACAAGAGGCTTGACTATTTATGTTCGACACATGCATGATATAAGTAAGGAAAACATGTAGGTTAAGGTGCTTGTCCCGATAGGAGTGATAAGGCCGGGTGATACCTGGTCAGCTGAACTAACCTGTCGTAATAAACATAGAGGCAATGAAGGACCACTTACCTGTGACCTGAAATTAGTAATGAGCGGAGAGACTTAGGTGACAGTAATCACTAGGAGACCACTAAGGGTCCAGCTTGAAATACTTTATAAATGGAGGAGGAATACTGTGTACATTGATAATATGGAATCTGCCATACATGGGAGTCATATGCCGACTAAGGTAATTGTTATAAACACCTAAGAGACTAACCAACTGAGTGGTTAATACAGTAGCTGACTGGGGGGGACGCTGTGAAACAAGATTAGTATAGATTAGAATAAACCAACCAAACATGTGAATGCCATTCAATGTATCTGAAACCACGTACAGAGCATTTGTGTATCTGCGAATGCTCGTGCAGCTTACTGATAAGACAGAAATACAAAAGTCTCAGTACTGAAAGGGAAGGGGAGATGGGTGGATTTGAAATACCTTGGCAACATGCGATGTAAAGAGCCTGTCCACCGCTACACCCCATGACGGAGGCATTGAAGCAATGGGTTGTATTCTAAATGAATCTACAATTTATGTGGGACCACCGAATTCACATTTGAACTGCTCCAGGCAGTACTAACCCTCAGCCATTTTAGATTTGAGAAAAGTTAGTTCAAACAGATTACGGGCAATGGCACACCGAATTACGCCAATGGCTACATGTACTGCTTTAAACGAGAACACCTATTGGTAACATATGCAGAAAACATCATTTTGTACCGTCATTTCGTTGACGATATGCTTATAATTTGGAAAGGGGATGCAGACTCAATCAACAATATTATCTTAGAGATCAATACAATGAATACACATATGCAATTAACCATAACTACGAACACTAAACATGTGGACTTTCTGGATGTATGCATACAAAGACAAGGCCAAAAGTTGGCAGCTATACACTAAGCTAACAGACAGGAATACATTACTACATGCAGATAGTTTCCATCCCCAACACCTCAAATCGTCTCTCCCATACTAACAATTCTAACGTGTCATCAGGAAAAACTCAGACCCCAAAGTAGCTCAACAACAAATAGGTTACATGGACCACACACTACAACAAGTATGGAACAGATGTTATGCTACACCAGTAGTAAAAGAAAGTAAAAGTGAAAGAATGGTATTCCCTACCACCTACACCACCGTGTCATCAAAGATCAAAGCCTCTGTGAAATCTAATTGGCAAATTCTGTCTAATGACCCAACCTTGCCAAAAGAATTCCACAATCCCCCAATGATGTGCTTTCGACGCAGTAGAAATCTACGAGACCTCTTCGTAAGAACGGATCCAGTACAGTGTTACTCCACAAAACAACTTGCAGTTAACCCAGGATGCTACAGGTGTCTGGGATGTGTCACCTGTAGCCATATGATTCCCAGCAAAACCTTCTCACACCCACACAGTGGCAAACTATTTAAAATACGGCACAGACTAACTTGTACATCTGACCATGTCATCTACAAATTACAGTGCCTTTGTGGACTTTCATATATGGTGGGAACAGACTTGCCTCTAAGAGAAAGAATGAGGAATCACCGTTCCAGCATTAGAAACGCCTAGAGAGACAACAAAGCTGAACTTCCGGTAGCCAAACACTTTTTGACAATGGGTCACCCCTTTTCATCATTAAAATTCATGGCCATTGATCACATACCCCCATTACCTCGGGGGGGTTAGGGGGAGATCGGAAAACTCTACTACTACAAAGAGAGGTATTTTGGATACGAACTCTAGACACAGTATGGCCTAAGGGCCCTAATGAAAAAGTATCATTTTCAATGTTTCTTTGAACATATAAGTCTTTAGAGAAAGTTTGCCTGTACTCGTTTATTTAAGTCTCCAGTTTCAATGTCAGATTCGTTACTGGGTTTTGCTATTTTACGTTATGCATATTTATGATAGTTATTTGAGGATGCACTCCTGTCATGTTTCTTAACCTCTTTTCTGCATCTACTTTGTATACCTTTTCTGGTATTCATCACCAGGCCCGTCGCGACAAGGCAAGCAAACCAAGCAATTGCTTGGGGCCCCGAGCTGGCCTGGTGCCCCAAGACAATGACTGGTTAAGAATAAAATGCAATGACCAATGAGAATGCAAACCAAAACAACCATAGATCAAAGACAACAAGACTTAATGCAGATCGGGATTGAGCATTGGAAAGGTGTCATAAGGAGAGTGATTGCTATAATTTGTCACTTAGCAGAACGCAACCAGGCTTTAAGAAGGACCACAAGTGAGTTGTATGACCCACACAATGGGAATTTTCTGGCACAAGTTGAACTGATGGCACAGTTCGATTCAGTTATGACTGAACACATAAGAAGGATACAAAACCAAGATACAAGAGTGCATTACTTGAGTGGAACTATTCAAAATGAAATAATTGCACTAATTGGAAACAAGGTACTGGAAGAGATTGTGAGAAGAATACACAGAGCAAAGTAGTACTCTGTTATTATGGATTGCACTCCTAATATCAGTCATAAGCCCCAGCAGCCTCTAACCCCAGCAGCCTCTAAACTTCTTTCAATCACTTCCTCCCTTGGACTTTTGCAGTGGGCTAATTCTCCCACTCATGTAGCTGGCAATACCCTCGACCTTATTTTCTCTTATTCATGTACAATATCTAATATCTGCAACACTCCATTTCCTCTCTCAGATCACCACCTCTTATCGTTTGCTCTCAATTACCCCCTCACCCAACAATCTCAGCCTAACCCCCCTCAGCTCAGGAGGAACCTTAACTCTACTGACCTCCAGCAGCTGTCAGCTGACATTGATTCACAACTGCTATCCATCCCTTCCCTCTACTGTCCCTCACTGGCCGTCTCCACATACAACACTACCCTCACATCTGCCTTGAACGCTGCAGCCCCTCTCAAAACATGCACCTCGAGGAGGACACGTCCCCAACCTTGGCATAATAAATCGACACGCTATCTGCAGAGTTGCTCCCGTTGTGCTGAACGCTCCTGGAGGAAGTCCCGCACCCAGGCAGACTTTCTCCATTATAGATTCATGTTGCTTTCATACAGCACAGCCCTCGCCCTCGCCAAACAGTCATACTTTTCCTCTCTCATTAGTTCATGCTCCCGCAATCCCAGACGCCTCTTTGACACCTTTAATTCCCTTCTCCGCCCTGCTGTGGCCACCCCCCAAACTAACCTTACAGCTGATAGCTTTGCATGCTACTTTACCGGCAAGATTGAACAGCTAAGGAAACAATTCTCCCCTTCTTACCGTTCTCTTTCTCAAACACATGTAAATCTTGCTTTCCCTACCCTCCAGACTTTCTACCCGGCTACTGAACAAGAGGTGGCTGCGCTTCTCCATTCCTCTCGCCCCACCACTTGCCCGCTCGATCCTGTCCCATCCCACCTCAT